ATTTTCGAGTGGAGAGCTTGTATAAGGTTAACTTACTTCTCTGGTACACCTTTCAATGACAGACACTGCCACACAACCTCACGACCCACTGAGTCAAATGCTGCTTTAAGGTACAGGAAAACAACTGTTGTCGGACGTCTAAATGTCTCTGTGTCCCAGGACCTGTCGTAGTGTGACAATATGGTCCATACAGCCACGTCCATGTCTGAAACCAGCCTGGTCTTCTCTAGTCTGCACTTCTTGAGCTGTAGTTAGGCGTCTAAGTATTACCGAGGCTAACAATTCGGAAACTATATTAGTTAGACTTATTCCTCTGAAATGGTCTCTAGAGGACTTTTGTCCTTTCTTATAAATTATGACAATTAAGGATTGAAACCAGTCAGATAGGATTACTCCCAGTTACCGAATTCTACCTAGGATCCCAGTCAATATAACTGCTAAAACTGGATCACCACCCTTAAAAATCTCAGGAGTTAGCTTATCAGACCCTGCTGCTCTCCCTTGCTTCAAAATTCCGATAGGTTTTTCAGCTTCATAAGGTCTCGGAGGACTTAAGTTGGTTTGCCATTCAGGTTGGATGGCGATCGTGGCCAACCGAAGTGTGGTTGACGGTCAGTTGTACTGATCCCTAAAATGCTCCTCCCATTGATCCGATTTCCTGGGTTGAGAATGAATGATACAGCTATTCTTTTCTGAGATAGCCTCACCTACATTCGGATTTCTTGTAGCGGTGCCCTTGATAAGTCTGAACAGTTGTCTACTGTTGCCTATAACCGCTGCCTTTTCTATCTCTCTTGCTTTCTCTACCGACCACTGTTCGCGATCATTGCGTAAGTGACAGTACTTTTACAAGACTGGCAGAACGCTGTGAATGCACTTATTCTTGATACTTAGCAGTCAGATGTAGTCGGGAAGTTCGTATCTGCGTAGTAGTGGGTGATGAGACCGATCCACAGATAGTGAAAGCCAGAACTGTTTATGCTAATCTGGACCGTCTTTGGCGCCGTCATAATATTAGCATAACCGTTAAAGACTTGGTCTACAACGCGCAGCTGGTAGCAGTTTGCTCTATGTTTGTGGAACCGCTGTTGCAGTCTGACATAATAAAACTCAGTAGCTTTGGCACGTAATCCAGTGACAAACCTGCAAAACATTTTTTAATTAAGTTTTTTAAGGGAGAAAAACTTCTTTAACTGAAAAGATTATTTGCGGTAACACTTTTCCTAACCGAACAGCTTCTTCCACTTTACACTGCTGTCGTTGATTTATTTTTATTCGCTCATTCATTTCATCTGTGCTTAGCCTCGTTTCTTCATGTATAAATATAAACGTATAGGTTATCAGATTTGACAATACTCGTCATTATTTAAATGAGTAGTTTGAAAATAAGAACTAGATTTGCGAAATTAGAAAGATGAAATATTATTGAGAATTATAATTTGGGCGGGAAATGAACTTATCTCTGCCACTAAAATCCGACTTTTAGCCATGTTACGTAAGGTCAATATTAACTTATATGGACTAGAGTTGTGTTATTGTTCGTTTACTTCCTTTATCCTGGTTTACTCAAACTTCAGCCGACCAGTCAGTCAGTTACAACGTAGAACTTCGTACGTAAGTACATCAGTTCATGTTGCCATACCACGTTAGCATACAGATGCAATTGTCAATTCAAATCCCATAGTCTTAGAGATAGTAGAAGTATTACTGGTAATGGAGAAGATTAGGATTTAAAGATTTTATCCAAGCAGTATAATTCAGTGAGATAAATTTAGAAAGACAAAATAGAGGTGTTGACGAAGATTAGGATTTGAGAGAACACAAAGAGTGGATGCACCTGCGCCATTGCAAACGATTCTGAGCTATGTCGTTCAAGGTCTCTAACCATTGGTGACTTTCGTCTTGCGGACCCCAACCAGGTAGCCTACATCTATCAACATCACCCAGTTCACTTGTCAGTGACTTCATGGATTTCTGCCATGTTTTGGTCTGGCCGCACGTAGCTTTCTTCCAACCTATTCCTACATCGCAAACCATGGCTCGTTGAGGCAGTCGGTGGTTAGGCATGCGAAACACGTCCCAACCAACTCAACTGATGAAGTTTCAATACTTCATCTATTGATCTGCCATCCTTACCTAGTACTCGTTTCCTAACGACAGCATTGCTTACTCGGTTGTCCCAGGATACACGAGCAATGCTTCTAAGATATCTATGATCGAATACTAGTAACCTACGAACATCTACTCTTAACGGCCATGTTTCGCATCCATATAAGAGAACGGAGCGAACTGCTGCGCAGTACACCCGTCCTTTGGTTAGCAAACGGATATCTCGCCTACGCCATAAATGACGAAGGTTGACAAAAGCCAAACGAGCTTTCTGTAGCCGTGCTGAGAATTTGTCAGTCACCAGGTCATTAGCGCCGATGAAACTCCCCAGATAAGTGAAGCGGTCTACACGCTCGACTACTTCACTCCCTATCACTACTTCGGGTGCCGGTGCAACCCAATCTTGGAGCAGCATTTTGCATTTCGAGGGTGAGAAGCGCATCTTGAACATGATTACATTGTTGCTTAGGGTAGTCAGAAGACTATACATGTTGTCAGCGTCTTCACTGAATAGAACTATGTCAACGGCATATTCTAGGTCATTAAGCGATCCTCCTGGTAGAAGGTCCACACCTGAAAAATCTGACAACGACAAATTTAACCCTAAAAGGATGTCTACAACAAAGTTAAACAGGGATTGGGAGAGTGGACAGCCTTGACGGACACCACTTGAAGTAAAGAATCCCGATGACTGTTCACCATAAGCTCTCACTCGACCAGTAATTTTCGAGTGGAGAGCTTGTATAAAATTAACTTACTTCTTTGGTACACCTTTCATTGACAGACCAGTCAGACGGTATTACTCCAAGTCCCCAGATTCTAAATAAGATTTCAGCCAATCTAACTGCTAAAACTGAACCACCATCCTTCAAAATCTTAATAGTAAGCCTATCAGGACCTGATGCTCTCCCTCGCTTTATATTTCCTATAGCTTGCTCAACTTCATAAAGGCTAGGAGGACTTAAATCGATTTGTCATTCAGGATGATTTTAGCTGACCGACTGATGGTAAAATGTTCAAGATAACCAACAAGGTGCATTACAAAATCCGTTATAGAGAAACTTTTGGAGTACACTAGGATAAGATCGATCAAAAAGTGGACATTTACTTTATGGCACTTCATTAGCAAATATCTGAATTTTAGTTATCTGTTTGGATGATAGATTTTTTAATAGGCAGTATAATGTCGGTTTATTGACATAGGTTTCTGATTTCCAGCAATTAGGTTGGAGCTCCGTCTCACCTACTTCGATTTAAGCAACCGATTAGTACCACTACCCCATACACTTAGTGCGGCTTACGTCCAACTTCCTTGTGAATGGGTCAGTTTTTGTAGATGTCAGTGAAGCTCAGCTAAAGAAAGACAGACAGATACGACGCAGAACTTCGTACGTAAGTACATCAGTTCAGGTTGCCATACCACATCAGTAAAGAGACGCAACTGTCAGTTCAAATCAAGAGTGATAGCGATAGAAGTAGTAGCAGTAATGGAGAAGATTAGGGAACGAAGATATGATTCGAGAAGTATAATTCAGTGAGATAAATTTAGGAGAAAGATATAGATTATGAGGAATTCGGAAGGTCAGAATTAGAGACTGAACTACCGGTCTTTTAATAGTAAGAGATGATACATTTTAACTCCAAAAAATTAGTTACAAACCTAGGATAGGCTAGTAATTTATAAACTAATGAGTAAGTGCGAAAACACCAATTGTTTCGCTTAGCACAAGGGTCCGTTAAACAGTGATGAAAGCACTTCTGTCAATTTCTAAAGCGATGGTAACTATCAGTCTTTAAAATTATATTGCAAACGTACGAAGTAGGTAGCAAGTTAAATGACTGGACACAAAAATAAGACCACATATAAGACGACAGGCTAACTAGTAGTTTGTAATAATTGTTTCAGGAAAGGAAAATAACGAGTTAAAAGCTATATTTGAGATACCACGGTAAAAGGCTTTGCCCCTTAAATGCTGTAGTACCTCTGAGTGGGAATAGTCCGCTCTCCCCTCTCAAAGTGCTCTTATATGGCCACTGCTAGAGAAATCCTCATCGTGGTGTCGTTTACAAACTGAGAGGACAATAGGCTTCTGGTGATCATTTCTCAGATGCCATTATTTTATATGAAGTTATGTAGAACAAATCGTCACAAAAATATCTGCACCATATATGGAATATAGTACTGTGCAGCAGTTCGCTCCGTTCTCTTAGATAGGCTGTGGAACATGGCCTGTGAGAGTAGAAGATATTCGTAGGTTACTAGTGTTCGATCATCGGTGTCTCCGAAGCATTGCTCGTATATCGTGGGACAACCGAGTAAGCAATGCTGTCGTTAGGAAACGAGTACTAGGTAAGGATGGCAGATCAATAGATGAAGTGGTGAAACTTCATCAGTTGAGGTGGTTGGGACATGTCTTGCGTATGCCTAACCACCGACTGCCTCGACGAACTATGTTTTGTAGTTTAGGAGTAGGTTGGAAGAAAGTTAGGGGCGGCCAGACCAAAACATGGCAGAAATCCATGAAGTCATTGACTAGTGGACTGAGCCATGTCGGTAATTGTCGACTACCTGGTTGGGGTCGGCGAGATGATAATAATCGATGGTTAGAGACCTTGAATGACATTGCTCAAAATCGTTCGCAATGGCGCCGGTGCATTTATTCTTTGTGTTCTCTCAAACCCTAATCTTCTGGATTCTTCAACACCTCTAGTTTTGACTTTCTAAACTTATCTCACTGAATCATACTTCTTGAATAGTATCTTCTAACCCTAACCTCTCCGATTACTTCTAATTCCCTTACTACCTCTACTACTATTGGATTTGAATTGACAATTACATCTCTGTGCTGATGTGGTATGGCGACATGAACTGATGTACTTACGTACGAAGTTCTACGTTGCATCTGACTGACTATAGTAATAAAATACATCATCTGGCTCAAATTTATTTGGAATAAGGCTGACGAGAAAACGTCAGGTTATAAACAGATTTACAGATTTAGTCTGAGGTACATAGGAAATATACTTATGATGAAATGAATTTTTTTCAAGTTACCCAATTATATGTCGTTTTAAATGCTTTGCAACTCCAAACATACGAAAACGTTTAAGATTGAATAATCTTTGCCAGTCTTCATTACATACAACAAACTGTCGATTGTTTGGATCCTAATCAATTATGTAGTTGGAAAGCTAACTACTTACGAATAAATCTTGTTCTCTTGCGATTTCCCAGAATTTTTTAACCAAATCAGAACGGGACAGTTCTTTCTCACCAATATACTCAGCCATCTCGTCAGATAATATTAAAGGACGTGTGAAACCTGTTTTTCCGCCGCCTGTTTGTTTTTGAGATCTTGGTTTGGTGCCTAGTTATTTATCTAGAAGGAATAAATATCGCTTACTGGAACTGCTTCTTCGTCTCATACCATTAGCTTCGGCATGCAAACTCCGGGCATAATCTTCGTCATCAGAAGTTTTCTTTTTCTTCTTTTTTGCTGGCTTTTCAGGTTCACTATCAGAACTCTCGTCAGATTCCGTAAATTCATCTATCTCCTAAGGATAAATATCAAACATTAATTAAGAACTAAGACTCACAGGACTACTGATGCGTTTACTGTCACTTTTACTTTGGGACTTTGAAGACTGTAACTTCTCCAGTGTAGACATTATCATGGTCTCCAACTTGGATTTTTCGTTGGACAAATCAATGTTGAAGTGAGCTTCTAATGCTGATCTAACTTTTTTCGATGTTACTTGGGAAAGGTCGGCATCATGTAGAATTTCTAGATCCAACTATCTAGGATTGACTTTCAGAATCTTACTCTCTATTTTAGTCAGAAGCTGACTGTCAGATGGATAGGCCATGAGTTTCCGTTAAGTGTTTCGCCAACTTTGTATAGTTCGCTTCCTAATGACCAAAGCCTCGATATCATATTCAATTTCGTTTGCAAATGTAATCATGGAGCAGTTGCTTTCTTTAATCTAACGTAGTATACTTAACCTTTTCTGATATGAATGAGTTGTTCCTCTGACCTCTTATAACCCATGGACTAAGCACTTGTATGATGATTTATTTACTACTGGAAACCTTTAAATAGAGGGTTCTGTTAGCTGTGGACGGAACAGAAGTCTTTTGTTTATGAACTTCTGTGTCTTATGGCAGAGAATTATCATTTTTATCAGGTAGTGGTGTAAATATATGAAGTGAATAAAGACGAAATTTGTATTGGTAGATCGTGTACTAAGACCATGTAGCAGTCAAGGTCTCCAAAATTGCTATGCAGAGTGGATAACCTGCCTTCAGGGGAAACATAATAAAAATTACGGCCTCCTGTAAGTATGAATGATCTCCATATACCCAGATGCCACCGTCAAGGAGGAGAAACTTGGTACGCGCTAAAAGTCATAGAAAACACAAGTTTATCTAATAAGGCTTTTATAAAACCATATCACAACCTGAAGCCGTCGGGCGTTTGCAGTCATTTACTGTGTCTTGACTGGCCCTACTGCTGGATTTTTAAGACCTCTCAGCTGTTTGCCAAGAACTTTTCCAACTAACTAAACCTCGTGAATATACATTACGTTAAGCTTCGTGCATAGTGAATAACAGATGGTACTACCGCATGAATTTCGCACGAAAGTTCAAATTTATCCCCGTGAATCCGGTTGGTTCGTTTGTGTGTGATATTTCTGCTTATTTTAATTCTTTAGGAGTTTCCTATAGTTTGAAATATACCACTCACAGAAATCAGTCTGCTAATATTCCTTCATTGTCTACCCTGATATTCCGACAGATTTACTCTTTCCCTATAGGGTATTATAGTCGTAATTTCCCCATTGAGTGGTAGTTTTTTAAGACCTTCTTTAGCCTCCATAACTTCTCATTTCCCTAGATTTAAATCAAACGTTATACTTCTAGGCTCAGAGAGTCCATAGACCTCAGTTACTTCTATTAAATATTTTAAGTAGTTCCTTCACACTCGAAGCTGATTGTAGTTCCCAAATCGTTTGTTTCTTGACTTTATTTCCGACACTGCGAAGATCAGATCTGTTATTTTATTTAAGAGGTTAAGATCATTATACTCTAATATTATCATAAGTGCTACTAAAGTATTTATTCTAATCCTAATGTACGTTAGCATTTTATTTGGACGTTCTAACTTCCTAATAGAAGGTGATAACAATTCAGTTGTAATCTTTCGACCGCTGGCTACTAAGACTGGGCAATATATCACGTAGCTACAGAAATTATGAGTCCTCAAAGTAAAATTATTCATATTAACCAGTGAAGATAACTCTTACAGATCGCCTAAAATCTTAACAACAACATGGAGATAGAAGGAATTTCTTGAAAATGTCTGAACTTTCTTTCTAGTGCTCACAGAATGAAGTCAAGCCCTGGGAAACTGTAATTAATTTTATTCCTAACACAGTCTCCAAAGATCTAGTGAGAGGGGTAGCTAAGCACCTGGGGTACAGAAATTTTATTTTTAGATATAAAAAACGAAGGGTACAGAGTCGATCCATCAGCTCATATTTCACACAGGTTTTAAAAAGGCAAGCCCTTAGGCAGAGTAGTAAGATTTCCTTTGTCTTTGACACAAACTTCAGACGAGCATATTGTTCTTACTACGCATCATTTAGGTTGGATTTATTTTCCGTCCTTTATATTGTATCAGTTAATTTGTCGTGTATATATGTAGTGGAACTCGATATGGAGCATAACCCGGAAAGTAAGTATAGTTTGATACCTGTGCAGATAGACACTGTGATAAGCAAGAAAACCAAAACTTAATATCAGTGACCCCGAATTGTGACTTACTCAGCTGGTCAACAAAATTAATCCTGAGGGTACTCATTATGGAGGTTCATGCACTGTCAGCTCTCGTTTTGTTCCCAAGGCGAACCAAGAATAAATTTTAGACCCACAAACCTACACCACTTAGAGACGTGAAATTTTAAACTGTCTGTCTTTATCAGATCGTTAAAGAATCTTAAGGCTTTCCTAAGGAAAGGCGTTAAGTGGTAGGCCATCATACTAGTCTTTAAGTTACTTACTTGGTGACAAAAGTGAGAGGAGCAGTGAAGGATGGATAAAAAGTCTCCCATGCAACGTCCTACATTATCTTTGCGTAAACGATTTCAACCCTTAGAATGTACTGCGGGTAAGATAATGGAAATAGGTCCACTAACCGGGTGACATACGATAAACGTGACTGTAGAATAAAATTTTTAGAAAGACCAATCAAACTCACTGCAAGACGGTCGTCAAAATGCAAATAAAGCATCGAAGACGGGGCAGGCCATCACAACAACCAAACTACCTAATATAGATTAGGTCACAAGAGTTCAAATATCTGGACTATTCTGTTTGTACTACTAGAAATTCAGTTCCAAGTCAACCAGGTTCAGTCAAGCAGAAGCTGATCTATACAGACCGAAAAATACGAGAAGTGAATAACCACTCTACTAGTCGTGGCGACTGAAGAGGTATGCCTAAACAGGTACTGGTTTTGATTTACAAGTTGATAATCGGCCTCCATCTTTTTGGTTATTACAAGCTCTGCATTTATAACGGTTGATCAGGACGAAGACCAATCTAGTCGAAAGACTTTCTCAGTTACATTTGAGGCTACTGACAAGATTAAAAACCTTACCCAAGCAAGCCACAGATACAGTTCTGGAGTTATTGAACTTGACCAAATCAAACTACAACTCTATATGGACTGTTCCAGTTTGTATGCTTGCTATTGAGCCTGATCAACGTGGCATGAATATTTCAGAGATTTATTATTGATAATAATTTATTGCCAAATAATATGTTACCAGAGGCATGCAAATCTACAGGCTAGTCAAAAATGTTAAAACGACTAACATATTTTCAGTAAAAAGTTGTCCATTTGGATAAATAATTGGTAAGATACACTAACATTTTATAGAGAGCTAATATTCTTAGCTTAAAATTGTAAATAATGCTTTGGACTCTGGAGTGTACGACACAATGGTTGGCGCGGGTTATGTTGGTCGCATTGCGACTAGTGACTGCTGATTTGGAGTCAAATCAAGTTACATCCTGGTCGGTAAATGACGAGCATTTGTGAGGTATTTGTATTGATCTCCTTGATTGGATTTGCCAGGCAACAATTTGACAGGCTTCTGGGTAAAACAGCTGTAAGCCCTCTTGAATGTCAAGAATGTGGTGGTGTTTGGTTCTCTGGGACGGATGTTTTGGTTGCGGAACCTTCACTGTTCTTCTGAACAACATCATCAGCACAAATTTCAGATAGAAGTGAAGCATTCGAATTTCTCCACATCTGACTTGTAGCTTGTTCTGCTAACCTCTATCTCGATAGGTTGCTTTTGAACTTAAACCTGTCGTTATTTGCAGCAACGAAGAAGCAACCTCAAAGATGAACTGATCAAGATTTTTAAGCCAACCAATTATGTGGTCAACCTCTCGAAACAACACCTAACGACAACAGAAGAACAACTGCTCCAGCAAGGATTAAACTATAACACGAAGGACGCTTCAAAACTCGAATTCTTTGCTGCACTAGAGTTCATCACTCAAAATGGCAGGAATAAGTGAAGAAACTCAACAAAAAATAAGACTAACCACTGTACCAGTAACTCGACGGAAGAGAGACAACAACCAACTAACAGCACAATAACGAAAAGCACTAAAGAAACTCAGAACCAGGGAAGGTATAGCCATAGTTCCAGTGGACAAAGGACGGAGGACAGTAAGTGTGAACAAGGAAGGATATATCAAGAAAGTCGAGAAACTACTTCAGGAAAGAAGCGTATGTAAGTCAATCGACACAAACCCAATAAAATGGTTGGACAACCAAATCTCAAGGACTTTAAACAGGCTTGTCAGAGCAGGACAAACATCAAAACAAGGTCAGTGGAGAATGAAATCCAGTGGACCAGTAATTCCGCAATTCTACGGTAGGCCCAAACTCTACAAACCCAGCATTTCACTACGCCCTATTGTATACCTCCCCGGAACCCCGACCTACAACTAAACAAGTGAAATTTCAAGGATATTAAAACATCTGGTGGATAAATTCAACTACTCCATTAAGTATGTCACGCATTTCTTGGATAAATTCAAGGGGATTCAAATCGACAACGACGAAACGATGATATCCTTCGACATACAGCCTTATTCACCTCGTTAGAGCCAAAGTTAGCCAAACAAACTCTTTCCTGCTCCTCATCAACGACACAAATCTGCACAAATATACAAAGGTTCAGAATCATGTCTGCTTGAACTCATCGATCTATGCTTAACAACGTATTTTCAATTCAACAACAGAGTCTACGAACAAACAAAAGGGACACCAATGGGATCACCATTATCTGGTCTCATCGCGAAAGCTGTAATGCACAGACTAGAAGTGTCGATTTTACCAGTGATCAAGCCAAAAATTTGGGTTCGCTATGTAGACGACACATTCGTCATTATCAAAAGGAATGAGCTGGAGAACGTCTACAATCAAATCAACAACGTCTTCGATGACATTAAATACATGATGGAAAAGGAATCAAACAACAGTTTATCGTTCCTGAATGTACTAATCACCAGAACTAACACAGGAAGACTGGAAACTCAAGTATTTCGGAATACAACCCACACAGACGTAATTCCCAACTACGATAGCAATGACCCAAGAACCCACAAAATTAACTGCATACAAACGTTGTTCAAGAGAGCGAAGACACAATGCAGTACATACGAAGCACCAAAAAAACGAGAAAAAACACCTTGTGACTATCTTCCAAAAGAACGGCTATCCACGCAACTTCATTAAAAAGCATCAACAGAAGCGAAATCAAGTCCAGGAATCAATAAACGGATCATGCTACCATACATAAAAGACATATCGAGGCACGCAGCACGACTACTGAAACCATTTGGAATAG